GTGGCTTCCTTTGTTCCTTTCTCTCTCTCTCTCTCTCTCTCTGGTCAAATTTAAAAAATAAATGAATAAATAAATAAAATTAAATAAATTTTTTTTTTTTTAAAAAGGAATAATTTGGGCCGGCAGGTGGCACGGTAGTTTAGGGCGCTAAATTCCCACATGGTTGACCGCGGTCCAAGTCCTGGACCTGGTGGCTTATTTTCTCACTTTTCTTGTCTTACTCTGTCCCTCTCTGGTCAAATAAAAATAAATAAATATATAAATTAAAGTTAATAATTCTTTTAAAAAATAATAAAAAATGATAATAAAATTATTTATTTTTGAAAAAGAAAAAAAATACACTGAGTATGTGATTGTGTGCCTAGAACACATTTTGCCCTGAGAGCAAAATGGAAAAGGGATTGTGTGTGGCCATCTCCTCAGGGAGGGTCATCTCACTTTCTCTCTCTGGCGAGCACATGCACCCTATGGCAAAAATCTTAAAAAGAAAAAAAAAAAAAAAAATGGGGGCTAACAGGTGGCATGGTGGCTAACACACTGGACTCCCACATGACTGACAGCAGTTTGAGTCCTGGACCTGATAGCTTGCTTTCTCACTTTCCCTGTCTCTCTCTAGTCAAATTAACAATAATGATCATGAATAAAATTTTTAAAAACTTTTTAAAAATTTTATATACCCACTCACACACACACATATATAGATATATACATACACACACACATATATATAAGAGTAGGGGCTAGCAGCTGGTGTAGTGGTTAAGAAGCTAGATATTCATGTGGCCAACTACACAGTTCGAGTCCTGAACCTGGGAGCTTGAAAACATGTCGGGTTTGTATACATGCATGCCCAAAGTCCCAAGAGAAAACTGGAGAAGGGATTGCAGCATGGCCATCCCTCCTGTGAGAAAGCACTTCCCTGGCTCCCCTATCTCTGTATCTCTCCAGTAAAGGTACATGCCCTATGGCAAAAACCCTTAAAAAGTCATGATGACTTGCCTTGTGCCTAGTGGTTAAGGGAGTCAGACCCCACAGGATAATCACAGTCTGAATTTAGGCCCCAACAGCTTCAAAAATACACTGAATATCCATGCTAAAATTCTTGACGAGGTGGAGAAATTGAGAAGGGACCATAGCATGACCACACTCCACTGAAGGAGTTTTTTTCTCTTTTTCTTTCTGTCTCTGGCAACTGCATGCACCCTTTGACAACTAAAAAACAAAGACAAGACAGAGGGCTGCACCTGCTCCAGTAGGAGGGAAAGTAGCAGTGACCACTAAGAATCTCAAGAAAGGTTTCAGAGGCATGAAAGCTTGGGTTCAAGCATCTAGCATATGTACAAAGTCCTAGAAAAGTCCAATAAAGGTCCTACACTTTGCCACTCCCCCACTCCTGTCTTAGTACCTAACTTCATTCTCCCACCAGGGGGCAATCTCAGCACTGTTGGCACCTTCACTTGGTGAGGCTAACCCTCACATATGCTTCTGCAAATGGTGCTTCACTCACCGTATGATCAACCTTTCACTCCAGCCAAGCTGGACCTTTGATCTCCCCAAAGACACACCTCTAATTCAGACACTTGCACCTTCATCTTTAAATCACAAGATCAGAGCTGAAATGGGCCTTAGAAAGCTGAACTACTTATCTTCCAGAGAACATAAAATGGAGAAAATTCTTCCCTTGCTTACAAGTCAACCTGTACCTTTGATCTGATGTCAACAGCACTTAATCAGAATTATCTTGTCCTCAATGACAAGCTGGAAGGGAGCTTAAGGATCTCCATTTCCCCACATAACCAGCAGCAATTATTACTTTAAGGGCTGAGTTTTTTTAAAAAAAACTCACTAACCCCCGCCAATTCTTTCTTTCTTTTCCTTTTTTTTGAGAGGTTTTTTTTTTTGGCTACAGGATGCATGCACTTGCCAGAAAGACAGAGAGAGACAGAGAGACAGAAAGTGAGAAATCACCCCCCCAGGGGGGATGGCCACACTGCAATCCCTTCTCCATTCTCCTCTTGGGATCTTGGGCACGCACACACCCGGCATGAGTTTAACCCGCTGGGTCCAGGACTCAAACCGCAGTCGACTACATGGGAGTCCAGCAACGTAGCCATTATGCTAATTGCTGGTCTCAACTAACCTCTGCCAATTCTCAGTTGGGATCAGACTGTCTCATTCCAGCAACCACCACACTCAAAGAGGAGGGCTCAAAGTCCAAAAGCTACCGCACTTGAACTCAAAGGGTGGGATCAAGTGGTTCAGTTTTATCACAACACTGTAACAAGAACATGTAAGGAGACAAATACCTGTGCTGGGGCAATAGGAGAAAAAGGGCCTACATTTTAGCAACTACTAGATAACAAACAAAAGTTGAAGGACTAGCAGGTGGCACAGTGGTTAAGGCACTGGACTCCCACATAGTCAACTGTGGTTCGAGTCCCAGACCCAGCAGCTTAAAACTCACTAAGGGTGTGTGTACATGTGTGCCCAGAATCCAAAGAGAATGGAGAAGTGATTGCCGTGTGGTCATCCCCCTGGGGAGTGACTGCTCACTTTCTCTGTCTCTGCAGTGAGCACACACACTATAGCAAAAATCTTTCAAAAAAACTCACAAAAACAAAATTTGGGCCAGCAGGTGGCATGGTGGTTAAGGCACTGGACTCCCACAGGGTTGACTGTGGTTTGAGTCTCAGACCTGGTGGCTTTCTTTTAGAGTCTCTCCCCATCTCTCTCTCTGGTCAAATTAGAGAACAGTAATAAATAAGTTTTAAAACAAATTTTTTTATTTGCTCATTCACATATTTTAATTTGACCAGAGAGACACAGAGAGGGAGAGAGAGGGAAAGTGAGAAAGCAAGCCACCAGGTCTGGACTAGAACAGTGGCTGACCACGTGGGAGTCCAGTGCCTTAACCACCATGCCACCTCCTGGTCCCTCTTTTTATTTTTTTTAAAGTAAAAGAATAAAAAATAAAAACCAAAAAGTGAATGAGCCCAGTCACTTTGAGGTTATACATGACCAACTTAAAAAACATTATCTTTAATCCTGAGATGTCCAATGAAGAATCTTGAAATTTCATTTGAAACTCTCTAGCTCAGCCCTCATTTAAAGTTTTTACATTGGGGTCAGGGGGTAACATGGTAGTTGAGGCGACAACTCACATGGCTGACTGTGGTTTGAGTCCTGAACCTAGCGACTTGCTTTCTCCTTCTTGCTTGCTTTCTTTCTCTCTCTGGTGAGCATATGTGCCCTATAGCAAATTCTTTAATGATAACAAATAAAATTTAAAAATTATTTTAAATTATTTTTTAAAATGTATATAATGGTGTGGTGGTTAAGGGCGCAGGACTCCCACATGGCCAACTGCGGTTCAAGTCCCAGACAGACCTGGTAGCTGGCTTGCTTTCTCACTTTCCCTCCCTCTCTGTCCCAAAACAAAGTTAAATAATTCTTTACAAAAAAATTTTTAAAAAGTATGTAATTTCGGGAACCAGCAGTTAGCGTAATGGCTATGTCACTGGACTCCCACGTAGTTGACCGCGGTTCGCGTCCCGGACCCGGTGGCTTAAAACTCACGCCGGGCGCGTGTGCGTGTGTGCCCAAGATCCCGAGAGGAGAATGGAGGAGAAGGGATTGCGGCGTGACCATCCCCCCTGGGGGGTGATTTCTCGTTTTCTATCTCTATGTCTCTGTCTGTCTGGCGAGTGCACGCGCCCTATAGCGAAAAACCTCTCCAAAAAAAAAAAGTATGTAATTTCATATCTGATCAACTCTAATTCCTACCACCACCACACTACAACAGAACAGACTTTTAAAATGACAGAAATGGGGGCCAGCTAGTGACATGGAGGTTAAGGCACCTAGATCTTAAATGGTCACCTGTGCGGTTTTAGCCCCAGACTGGCTTGAGACTCAAGCCAGACACACGTGGCGTGCATGCCCAGAATCCCAGGAGAGGAGAGAAGAGACTGTGGTGTAGCCATCACCCCTGGCTTTCTCTCTGTCTTTCCAGCAAGCACATGTGCCCAACAATAAAAATCTCTCAAAAAAAAGACAGAAATGTATTAATTGGTTTCTACCTATTGCCTTCGGGAAAGTTACCTTAGTCCTATTTTTAAGTTCCATCTTTCAAAATTAGGCATATTACCTTTGTTTTTAAAAAGAATTATTTAATTTATTATTATTTTTTAATTTGGCCAGAGACATACAGAGAGGGAAAGTGAGAAAGCAAGCCACCATGTCTGGGACTTGAACTGCAGTCAGCCATGTGAGAGTCTAGCACCCCATACTTATTCCCTAGATGTAATTTTCAACTTGTGTTTTGCCCTAATACAATGTTAAGCCCATTATACTCTAAACTTCAGGGGATCAGATCTGCGGCAGTGAGTGATCAAGCAGGGCAGAAGCAGTAGTATGTATTTTGAATAAAAAGACTTTATGTTCTTTTCCCCAAGCACTTCCACTGGCTCTATCCTACAATCCATTGTCAACTCGGACTACAATGTAATAAAGAAACATAATTACCTCTTTCTCTTTTTTGGAAGCCTTTGTTCCCACCATCTTTCCCACCCTATCGCCTTCTGTTGTCCTCTTACCAGGCAGGCAGGTGGCTTACCTTCGCCATGTTTGTCGGTGAACTGGAAGGCCTGAACTAGTCTCAGAGTCTCATCCACAGAGCGGCCAACAGGGAGGTCATTTACGGTGATCTGCCGAAGGATGCCCTTATCATCGATAATAAAAAGGCCTCTGGAGGGAAGAAATTGAAGAACTAAGATAAGAGAGAGTACAGGTTGAGAAATCTGCTTTCTGGGTCAGCCAAGTAGCACGGCAGTTAAGTGCTATTGTACAGAAAGGCGAATCCTATATGGCTAACCACAGTTCAAATCATGGCCCTTTTGACCTGAAGAACCCTTGTGTGTGCATGGCCCAAACCCTGATGGAATGGAGAAATGAAGGAAAAAGGACCATGGAATCACCACACCCCATTGAGGGTTGCCTTTTCCTCTCTAGCCAGCACATACACCCTTTAGCAATAAAAAAGCTAAATTTTGAATTTAAAAAAAAAGAAAATTTGCCTTCTGAAGGACAGCAGATAGCATGGTGGTTAAGGCATTAGATTCCCACATAGTTGACTATAGTATGAGCCCCAGACCTGGCAGCTTGAAAATCATGCTGGGAACATGAAGTACATGCCCAAAATCCCAAGGGAAGAATGGAGAAGGGATTGTGGCATGGCCATCCCCCAGGAGGGTGATGTCTCACATTCCTTCTGTCTCCTGCAAGTGCACATACCCTATGGCAAAAGCAAAAACAAAAAACGAAATTTGCTTTCTAGGCTACCCATAGCCTCCTAGTTCAGAGAGCCAGAGGCCACTTGACTGACTGTGGTTCCAGTCCTACAGTCAGTAACTTGAGAACAGCAGACAGGTAAGCAGGGGTGTGGGTATGTGTGTGCAAGCACTTGCTTGCACCCCAAATCCTGACTAGATGGTATAATGGAAAAGAGACTGTGGCATGATCACACTCCATCAGGGAATACTTCCTACTTGTTCCTCTCTCTAGAGAACACATGCACCCTCTACCAACTTAAAAAAAAAAAAAAAGAGGAGGAAAGAAATTCTAAGAATAGGGGAGCTTAAAGTTCAAAGAAAATAGGCTGATTGCCAAGATTTGTACTAGCCCTGCCTTCAGTGAAACCTCTGCACAAGTGAATGATATGATATGTATCAAGGCTGTAACTTTCTCCAAATAAATATTTTTTTAAGTCAACTATAAATTCTTCTGATGGATGTCAGCTCCTCCCCACCGAAGGTACATACCTGAAGGAGATGCCTTCATCAGCCTTTAGGACCCCATAGTCCTGAGCAATGGTACGCTTGGGGTCTGATACCAAGGGAATGTTCATGGGTCCTAGTCCTCCTTGCTTCTTGGGTGTGTTGATCCTACAGCAAAAGGTACACATACAATCACATCTATTCAAACTCCTGTGTTTCAAGAACATTCACTGTACCTACTTTTTCCCCCTCAACTTTCCCCTTTCCAATATTCCCAATCTAACTTTCCCAAAAACCTTCACATTTTTTCCCATGGTAAAGTGAATGGCTGCGATGGGGCCAGCTGGTGGCATGGTGGTTAAGGTACTAGACTCCCATATGGTTGAACCACAGTTCAAGTCCCAGACCTAATGGCTTGAAATTCACACCTGGTGCATGTGCGCCCAAAATTCCAGGAGCAGAAAGGAGACAGGATTGCAGAGTGACCACCTCCCGCCCCAGGGGCGTATTTCTCACTTCCACCCCTACTCTGAACCCCAACTCCAGCAAACAGGCACACCCTATGGAAAAAACCTTAAAAGTATGTCTGAGAACAGTCTAGGTCAGTCACCAGGGTACACACAGTTGTAACTCAAGCTGCTTCTCCTCTGCTGCCAGGCATTAACAGAACAAGAGGAAGAGTCTTTGCTTTACTTTCCAAGAGAAGCTAGAAGTTAGCCAATACTTAAGAAAGTCGATTGCTAAAGCCTCCCAGAAGCAGCTTAGAAAGTCCACATGCTAAACTGTCCAAGATATTTACCATGCTAGGTGACAGAAGTGAGAATCCACAGAAGCACCAATCACTTGGCAGTTGAGTTTCTTAAATTCTTCTGCCCTATCACTGAAAGCAATGATCTCCGTGGGGCACACAAAAGTGAAGTCAAGAGGATAAAAGAAAAACACAACATATTTTCCTGGGGGGATAAAAAGAATCACAGGTTAGCTTTTGAAACAGACTTCCATGCCCTCTATAGACTGAGTCAAAGACATTTTACTATTAATAAAGTAAGCCTTTTGGGACCAGCAGATGGACTCCCATGTAATCAACCGCAGTTTGAGTCCCAGACCCGGTGGCTTAAACTGACTTCAAGCACGTGTGTGCGTGTGTGTCCAAGATTCCAAGAAGAGAGCAAAGAAGGGATTGTGGGGTGGCCATTCTCCCTGGAGATGATTTCTCGCTTTGTTTCTGTCTTTCTGGTGAACGCACACGTCCTATAGCAGAAACCTCTCCCCCCAAATAAAGAAGCCTTTTAGGCCAACAGCAGACACGGTAATTTCTCAATACCAAGATGCTCAATACAGATGTCTCCCGGGTACTTTTAGAACTTGTTGCAGCAGGAAGGCCTGAATGAAAAAATATCCTCTTCTATTAATAGTTACATGCCTTATTTTCAGGCCTCCATGTTCTTAGCTGTTTAGTCCAACTTTAAACTAATTCTTTTAGTGGCTAGAATTTGCATAAACACCAGATTCTCCAATGAAGGAAAGCAGAAACAAGGACACAGTTATCTACTGGATGGCCTAATGCCAATGCCTACAATGCATATTCAGAAAAGGGTGGACTGCTGGGTTCTCTGCTATGGAGATAAGAGACCTACAAGAGGATGTCAGAGCCTCTGTACTCTTCCATGATGAAGACAGTAATGGATGGGTAAGCTTTAAGCGAGCACATGAATCACCATAAATGTCTGTCCCTAATAAGCAAGACAGGACAAGAAAAGAAAAACCTTGTGAGACAGAAGCTCCAAAACTGCTGCTCGGTAACAGCATTACTAATTGCAACTGTACTGACGTCAACAGGATTACCACTGAAGCAGCTCTTTAAACTAGCGAGGCCTCTCACCACACCTACTGGGCTGAGCTATTGGAACTAACCCAACATTCACTTATTTCCAGGTAGAAAAATGCAAAGTTCTTTTCAACATACACTTTGAAGAGCAAAATTACTCATCTAAACCACCTCTCCAGGGCTTTGGCTAACAAGCACTGTGAAAGCTCAGCAGGTCAAGCCCTCAAGGGCAGAGAGCAGTACCTCTCATGCCTCATGTCTGTATCCCTGGGACAGAGTCACCTCCCTGTGGTGCTATTACCTTGTTTGCCACAAAGAGCTTCCTTCCATAGGGCCCCACTTACCTGCTTTCATCCCAGTAATCAAGTGTGGCATGTCAGGAAACCTTGTCAAACGTTCTACACCAAAGTTAGCTCCAGGAACTGATAATACATCACTAAGAAGGGTACACTTGACACCTGAGTTTCGGGTTTGCATTGTAAGGAATCTATACCTTCAATTGTCCTAGGAGACCCAACTGCTCTGGGACTGCAGAAGCAAAGAAAGAGGAGCCTTAAAAGAACTTCCCTGTGTCTGCGTGAAACTATCGCAACAGAAAGGGGAGTTGTTCCAGCTGTAAAGTAACTGTTCTCTGGGGGCAAAACAGTCAAGGGAATGTACGTGCCTAAGCCCTCTGCCTAACACATAACAGCTGACACACACACAGTTCACAAACTAAACAAGCAGTGACAAAGACTTAGGCTCCAAAACTTTACATGTAGAAGGTCTCCTGTAACAAGAGATAATGAGAATTTCTCCAATAATAGAATTGAGGAGTACTGAAAGACAACTGAGCTAATACATCCAGGCACAATGAAGCACATGCTTTCTCCAGATGCAGTCTGGACCCAGAAATCCACTCAGTAATCATGACTTGTTAATCACCAATTCACTATAATCTGAGAACAACAGCCTCCTGCTCTAAAGACCTACCCAGGAGACATGAGACATTTTAGGCAAATACATTACACAGGCACATCTAATAAGCCATCCCTAAATTATAAAGTAATTCAATTTTTAATTAACCTGACATAATTACTCTTACCTTTGTAGTCGCTTAGGCTGATATCTTTGAACTGACCATCTGGCATAACAGCTGTGGCTTTGAAGTTAGGGGCAGGGTACCCAATTTTGGCATTTCCTGAAGACATTTTGCTATCAGCTGGAAAAAGTAATAAGTAATTAATTAGAAACAAGACTTATTTTTCTATAGATAAGTGGCAGCCTTCACCTAGTCAGATTGAGCTATAGAACAATCAAGGAATTGTCTAGTGGCCCTGAATACACTGCATTTTACATTAGTGAGAAGCACAGGCAGTCAAGGGTCACAATGTGAGCGTTCCAACTTTTAGAAAAAAACAAGTCTCTGAATCTCAGCCTTTGTTTTCATTTTAAAATGGCACGGCAATGTCTTTACGAATTGAAGGCACCACTATCCATTCTTCCTGAACATTTGTGCAACAGCTTTCTGTTCTACACATTCACACATTCATTACAGAGGCTAAGAGGAACGGGGTGGAAATTCTTAAACCAGAACCCAAATGCACTAATGCCACTAGCAGAGTATCTGGATCTTTTTTTTTTTTTGAGAGGTTTTTGCTATAGGGCACGTGCACTCACCAGAGACAGAGAAAGCGAGAAATCACCCCCCAGGGGGGATGGCCATGCTGCAATCCCTTCTCCTCCATTCTCTTCTCGGGATCTTAGGCACACATGCACATGCACCTGGCATGAGTTTTAAGCCACCGGGTCTGGGATGCAAACCACGCTCAACTACATGGGAGTCCAGTGACATAGCCATTACGCTAACTCCTGGTCCCCAGAGTATCTAGATCTTTAATGGTCACGTTGCCCCTTCTCCAGACTGTGCTCCACGGGCTTTCGTAATGGGGGAAACAAACATGACCCTCTCCAACCCTCCCTGTCCTTACAAAAACTGAGTTTCTAACCCAGGCTGCAAGATCCCAAAAATACAATTTATTAATAACTTTTTTAAAAAGGAACATAATGGATACCCTCAGGTGAACACCAAGTTAAGGACTTAAGATTTAATTCACTATGCAGCAGGTGGCATGGTGAATAAGGTGCTGATCTCCCACATAACTGACTGTGGTTCAATTCCCAGACCTGGCAGGTTGTTTTCTCACTTTCCCTCTCTCTGGTCAAATGAAAAATAAATATATAAAGTTAGATAATTCTTGGGGCTGGTAGGTGGCATGGTAGTTGAGATGCTGGACTCTCACATGGCTGACGGTGGTTTGAGTTCTGGACCTGAAGGCTTGCTTCCTTTCTCTCTTTCTCTTGCTCTGTCCCTCTCTGGTCAAATTTAAATAAATAAATAAAGTATATTATGACCAAAAGAAACACTGTGAGAACCAACATTGCAAACTTTATACAAACTCCTTAGCATCTTTACCAAAAAAAAAAAAAAAAAAGGCACGCTGCAACTTGGTGACCAACTACAGGGTGTAACCCTAACACAAACCACTTTGTCCAAACCTGCTTTACCAGGTGGCCCCCAAGTCTGAAGCCCAACCAATCTGGAGAAAGGGCTGCTGGACTTCCGGCCGGCGCTGGGTCCTTCAGGGGATTTGCCCAAGAACCCCAATGAGGACCACGCCTCCAGCCCTGCTACCGCTCGATGCAGCCCCACCCCAGCACTTCGCAAAGCACCAGGAGGCCGGCAGGAAGAGAGCGGAGTCTTCAGCGAGGTCATCAGAATCACAAGCCCCATTCCGTAGAGAGGAAAATGAAGGTGAAGGGGCTCTTCGTTCCCAAAGCGAGTCCGGGTTCCGAACTGGGAACAGCCTTAACTCCTATACCGGCCGGACGAGTGCAGACTGCCCTCTACAGCAACAGGTGAGGGTTCAAGTCTGTTCTAGAAGCTACTCGAACACGCCCCGCCCAGCAGGAGGCTAGTTAGGCTCGGGGACCCTACACTACCACCAGCCTGCCCCCGCGTCGTTCCAAGAGAATCAACGCCCTCAGTTCCGACTGCCTGGGAAGAGATGCAAGTGAACACTGGCTAGCCTCGGGGTTCAATCAGGACCCTTCACCCACGGGGGGACCACGTGGGGGTGCGCGTATCTCCCGAACACCAGGCCTCACCCGGCTGCCTCACCAGGTCCCAGCACCCCGAACTGAACACAGGCTGTCCCAGGAGGAGGAGGAAGGCGACCCGCTGGAAGCGGGGTGCGGGGAGCTGCGCCTCTCTCCGCCGAAATAGCGCCACCCAAACTCACCAGCTTCGAGGTCCCAAAGAGAAACGCAACTCAGGCCAGCCAGGAAGAGGACGCGGGAAGCTTGCGCGGGGCGCTGCCTTTATAACCTGTAGGGCTCTCGCGAGAGTCGGAGCGGGTCGGGGGTGCGGGAGGTGCAGAGAGGAGGGGGATCTGGCCGAGCCCCGCCCCGGCGCGCCCCGCTGGAATGACTCAGCGCTTTCCCTGGCTGGGGTGGCCGTGGGCCCGGATTCCCCCCCTTTGCGACACAGGGCTCGGGTCCGAGGGGGAAGCGCGGTCTTGACAGTCTCCGGACCAGGCATCCCGGTTCGCCCGCGCTCTCTGCCGGAGACTTTCAGGACTTCTGTGCGTTGTGCCCGCAGGCCCAAGTTAGGGGCAGGGTCCTTGCTGTTGCTCGCAGAGGACCCCAAGCCCTGAGGACTGTTGATCCGAATCTCTCTCGGGTCCGCCCCGGCCGCCAGAGCTGACCCTTGTTACCCTCACCTCTTAGCCGCCTTTGTTTTCATGGACGAGAGGGTTGCTGCTTTCTGTGTCCCATCCAGCCCTTTTACCGCTGTGACTGAAAGAGGTCTTTCTGAAATCTGATCACGGCACTCCTCAGATTTGTGGTTTAAAAACTGGGGCTTTTAAAAACACACACACACAAAGAAACTGGGGCTCTGTAGTCAATTTCCTGAGTTGAAACTCCACAATATTGGGGGTCAACAGGTGGTGTGGAGGTTGGGACTGGATCCTACATGGCCGACTGCACCGGTCAAGTGCAGGACAGGAACCTTGAAGATCATTCCCGGTGTGTGAATGCAAGCCCACGGTCTCCAAAGGAGAATAGAGGGGAAGGAATTACAGCTTGGCTGTACTTACTCCTGATCTCACCTCCTGGGGGGTGATTTCTCACTTTCACTTTGTCTCTCTTCTGGGAGTGCAAGCACCTTATAGGAAACTTAAACTGCAATACTCTTATGTGTGACCTTATTCATCTTTCTTCACTCGTAAAATGGGAATAATACTAGTATTTCATTGAAATCATCTGTGTAGCTCACTTAGCACTGTACCTGGTTATTGCAGATTAGAAATGTTAGCTATTATTATAATACATCCACCTCACTTACTACACCCAAAACAGAAGGAACCTGTTTCAAGCCTGAATAGCCATTCAGCATGTCTTTGAAGGTCAGCTGAAGCATTACTTGTCTGAAGTTGTTCAGACCTTGGCTCATCCCCAGACTTGACCATTGTGTTGAGAAAAATAGGTCTTTTACTTGTTTACAAGTCTGCTTTTCCCTTTCAAACCGACTTTCTCAAGAGTAGGATTTGGGTCACATCCAACTCTGTATCCAAGTCGCAACACAGCATCTGATATAAAATAGGAGCTTCTGGGGCCAGCAGGTAGCATAGTGGACTCCCACATGGCCTACCACGGTTCAAGTCCCAGACCTGACAGCTTGCTTTCTCACTTTCTCTCTCTTTTTTCTGTCTCCCTCTGGTGTGTGCACATGCCCTATGGCAAGATGTTTAAAAAATAATAATGAATTGGAACTAGCAGGTGGTATAGTGGCTACATCACCGGGCTTCCACATGGCCGATTATGGGTTCAAGTTCTGGACCTGAAGGCTTGAAACTCACGCCAGGCTTGTGTGCTTGTGTCCAAAATCCCGGGAGTAGACTGGAGGAGAAAGGATTGTGGTGTGGCCATCTCCCCAAGGAGTGATTTCTCACTTTCTGTCTCTCCAGCAAGCACATGTGCCCTATAGCAAAAATCTCTCTAAAAATAAAAAATATATAATAATAATAATAAATTAAATGCAAAATTCTTTATTTTTAAAATGGGAGCTTAGGGACCAGCAAATGGTGTAGCAGTTACTTTGCTAGACTCCTACATAGTTGACCTCAGTTTGAGTCTCGTACTTGGCAACTTAAAACTCACACGGGGCACATGTGTATGTGTGCCCAAGATCCCAAGAGGAGAATGGAGGAGAAGGTAGGCCATCCCCACTGGGTGGTGATTTCTTGCTTTCTGTCTCTGTGGTGAGCACACGTGCCCTATAGCAAAAGTCTCCAAATAAATAAATAAATAAATAAATGGAGCTTAGCCACTGAGCATTCAAGGAACAATGTTATGTCCTCCCTCCCCACCCCTTTCCTCCTAAAGTAGAATAGGAAATGGGGAAGTGCTGTGTCATGCTGGCTGAGCATCTCAGTTTTTGATATTTATCATCCTACTTTGCATTAGTAGTGATCTTTTCAATTTAATTTGCTCTTTTCTTCTCTGCCTGAGGTTGTAACATTATATGGCATTATTCATTTCTTCCTGGATGGAGCAGGGATAGCCTAGAAGTTCAGCTTAATAATGAATGATTATTGCTATGGGCAGGTCAAACCAAGAACACAGTCTTACTCCATTCCATTAAAAATTACCATCTTGAGGAGCCGCTGGTGGTGGCGGTGTCTCCATAGGCGACATGAGTTTGGCTGGGAGCCGGGGCCTCCAGAAGACTGCAACTAGGGAAGAGAAGGCTCTGTTACCGCTAGAACTGCAAGATGATGGCTCTGACAGTCTGAAGTCTATGCGTCAGTCTACAGCAGAGCGTACGCAACAAACATTCTTTTGAGTTCAAGAGAGGCAGGGCCAGTCATGGCGGCAAAGGGGCGCCCCTGTGAGCGGCCATTGACCAGGAAGAGCTGCTCAGAGAGGCCAAGATCACAGAGTAGCTCAACCTACGTTCACTGGAGACATATGAGCGGCTCGAGGCCGACAAAAAGAAGCAGGTTCACAAGAAGGGAAGTGTCCTAGGCCCATAATCACTTATCATTCGGTGATGGTGCTGCTCCTTGGGGAGCCAGGACCCATGGAAGAGGACGTGGATGTAGGGAACCAGCAGTTAGTGTAATGGCTATGTCGCTGGACTCCCACGTAGTCGACCACGGTTCACGTCCCAGACCCGGTGGCTTAAAACTCACGCTGGGCGTGTGTGCATGCGTGCCCAAGATCCCAAGAGGAGAATGGAGGAGACGGGATTGCGGTGTGACCATCCCCCCTGGGGGGTGATTTCTCGCTTTAAGTCTCTATGTCTCTCTCTGTCTGTCTGGCGAGCGCACGCGCCCTATGTTGAAAAATCTCTCCATAAAAAAACAAAGAGGACGTAGATGTAGAAGGACTTGATCTGCTTCCCAGCTTCTGCACTGACTCCCTATGCTGGGACTGGACCTGTCATCCCCCCTGCTTGCTGCTCACAGACCTTCATCACTTTTAGTGATGATACAACATTTGAAGAATGGTTCCCCCAGAATCAGCCCCCAAAGGTCAGCCCAGTGACCCATCATCCAGACTTATATTGGGACCGTGTCACAGACATCCCCTATGCCACCGCTGGAGCCTTCAAGGTCATCCGTGAGGCCTATGAGAAGTACATCGCTACCCTCAGACTGCTGCTCACGGCCTCAGCCCTGGAGCCCCTCCCTGGCTCTGGACCCCAAGATTTGCGCCAGAAAATTGTCATCAAATGAAGAGAGGTCTAGTCCTTAACCATCTCGTTCCTGCCCAGACTTGGGGCTCTTGATGTTCCCTGTCCTCCCTCTGATCCTTCCTTTTGTCATTCTTGATCTTTGCTCCACCCTTTTCTGTATTTCTTTCCCCATCTTTTTCCTAGTTGCTACTGGTTTTGTTGTGTTTTTAATCTAATAAAATAGGAAGATTAAAAAAAAAAATGACCATATCATATACACCATGTGCCGGGCACAGGGCTGGGCACTTGAGCCTATTTGTACCATTTTAGAAACAAAAAATTTATCCTAGCCCCCACAAAATGTTAAACATCGATTCCTCTTCTAAATATTAAAAATGAAAACAGCAAAACAAAAATTGGAGACTGAACAGAAGAAAAATCCTGTTGAACATTTGTCTCAGTAATGATGGACTCTCCCCATAGAACAGTGAAGAGTTTGAACTGTGGGGAGTGAAGAGGCTTGCTCACAGGGCCTGGTGTATTTACTCATATCCCTTATGTTCTATCACTGTTTACCAGTAGTCTGGGAAAGA